GGCGGAAGGGCTAGCCTGTGGCCACTGTCCGCCCAGGGCCCCTGGCGGGACTGCTTGTGAACACAGAGGGAAAGACCTGGGAAAGCTAGGCGATCACTCAGCTGTGTGTGGTTTTTAACGTGAGCTGCGACTCTGCCTTGGAGGAGGGCCCCAGGCAGCCTCCTGGAGAAGGTCACGGCTGAATCTCCAGCCCACCCACCCCCAAGCCCGCTCTCACCAGGGCCTCCCTCCACCCCCTGCTCTGTCTCCTTACAGGCTCCAACACCTATGAAGATGCCGCCGCCTACATCCAAGCACAATTTGAAAGCAAAAACCGTTCACCCAACAAAGAAATTTATTGTCACATGACTTGTGCCACAGACACGAATAATATCCAGGTGGTATTCGACGCCGTCACCGACATCATCATTGCCAACAACCTCCGGGGCTGCGGCTTGTACTGACCTCTTGTCCTGTATAGCAACCTATTTGGTAATGATTCCAGCACTCACAGAAAAGCTTGCACACATACACACCCCCCCGCCCCCGCCCCCACTAACAAATGCAAGTTGGTAAACAAACTCCAAAAAGGCATAACAAACCTTATATATATAGACAAATATATATTAAAGTTTTTTTAGTCTGTACTAGAAAGAGCTTCAGACAGAACTGACCACCATTCCATTGCTCATCAATTTCCTGGGACAGCACCTGAGCGTGCACTTATGCGCGTACACACACACACACACACACACACACGCACTGCGATACAAGTCCTGATTTGGGAGTCCATCCTTTTAAGAACAGTCACATGCTTTCACACTCTTGAGACCCATTTCTGTGAGCAGGGGGAGGCCGAGGAAAGCCCTGGCCTCAGTCCAGCCTTTTCTCAGCTTCCACCCACTCAGGCTGTGTGCTCTCGGTTCTGTCCTGCATTTGTGTGAATTCCAAAACTGTTTTCTAAAAAATGGCCAGCACCCCAAATGTCTCCCTGCCCCATACTTTCCAACAAGAGAAAACTTAAGGATGCTTCTCTTTTGGGTGGCAGAGGTTGTTAACTTCAAGAATTTAGAAGAATCATCGCTCCGATCAATCCACTGTCTCCTGAGTTTTCTTTATTCATGTTAACAAGGCAAGAGTCAGAGAAAAGGGAGACTTGGTCTGCTTCCCACCTGCAGCTGAGGGAGGGGCCGTCACAGAGTCACCTGCAGAGCTGAAGCCGCTCTCCCTCCAAGAGGGCGGGGGAAAGATGATGTAGAGAAGGGGCAGGAGCAGCTGAGCGGGGAACTGGTCTGTGGTCTGCAGACCTGGCTGGGGCAGGGTCCTTGGGGTAAGGCCTCCCAGGGGGGCCTGGGCAAGGCCTCTCTTGGGTTCCGGATCCCTCTGCAATGCTGCCCCACCCTGCCCCTACCCCCATGTCATTAAACACGCTGAAGGGTTTTTCGGTCGGTTGGTTGGTTGGTGTTCTAAATCAAGGAAAATGGTCCGACTGGACCCCTTGTCTCTCTCTCTACAGACTGCTTCACGGACTCTTTGCTGTTGACGTTGATCTCCTGGTAGCATGACCTTTTGGCCTTTGTAAGACACACAGCCTTTCTGTATCAAGCCCCCTGTCTAACCTACGACCCAGAGTGACTGACGGCTGTGTATTTCTCTAGAATGCTGTAGAATTCGGTTTTAGTTTGAGTCTTTACATTTAGAATTTGAAAGGAAAGGAAGAACATTTCTCATGTGCTTTGTAGCGTTTAAAAAAAAAAGGATAAAGGAAAACTCACCATCTCATCCATCTTTTTTTTTTTTCCTTTGTGAAATAAACATACACACCTGCAGCCTCGCCCACCCCACCCCACCTGCAGAGGTGCCACCTGTCCACACCCTGGGCGCTGGTTCCCGGGCATGTGCTCAGGCCCCGCTTTCCCAATGCAGCCACAGCAGCCACAGCACCCCTCCTCCACCCTGCCCTGAGCCATACGCTCACTCCGGGTTTGTATAGATAAAGCACAGCTCTCACTGGCCAGTAGCTGCCCCCAAAGGATACAGAACATATACATAAATAGAGCCCAATAGAAAACAGTTTCCCCCTCATTCCCTTCCTAAAGAGTCCCTTTATCATTTTTTTTTAAGTTGTTTTAGGTTTTGGTTTTCTTTTTGTACTGATGAGCACTATGTATTACATACAGATCAGCTTTCGTAGTCTCTGGGAACCGGGTTGTGGTTTTTCCTGCTGACATCTCCGCTTCTCCGTCTCAGATGGATGCTCCGTGTGTGTGCGCGCGCACCCTCCCTTTCCTTTGTTTCAGTGACCTGTGTTCGCTCTTTCTCATGTGGGGATGTTTGTGCTGCAGATAAAAAACAAAAATTTTTAAATACCACAAGATGGAAAAAAAAAACAAAAAAAAATTAAAAAAAAAAGATGGAATGTAATGTTTACATGAAAGCCACAGTTCTCATGATCAGTCCAATGTCATTTCTACTTTGACTAGTATCCAAACCCCAAACCTCTTCACGGTTCACTTTTAAGACAATATTTGCTGAAGAAGACCAGTCACAGCCATTTCAGATAAAGAGACAAAAAGACAAAACACAAAAAATTTAAAATGCAGAAAAAAAAAAAAAAAACTTGGAAAAAAAAAAGGAAAAAAAAGAAAAAAAAAAAGCCCACGGGTCTTTCTAAGCCTTTCTATTCCCAATCGGTGAGGTTTCTGTGATATCTTACACACTGCCAGTCTACTTCTCTGACTAATGGAAAATTCATGTGTAGCTCAATAAAGAGAATGTTTGTCTGTATTCCTAAGTCTCCCCCTCGGACTTCATTCTGACAGGAAAGGGAAGGAGGGACTTGACTGGGCCACAGACACTGGGAGGCTGGTGCGTAGGGTTGTGAGTGCCGGATTCAGGAGCCTTCATCCCGGACCTTCCACACGCCTGTGTCAGTGCTGCCATCAAGGAGGAACCGGCCGAGCGCAGCCACCTGGCAGCAGGGTGGGTGGGCGAATGGGCCACTCTGGGCTGCAGTGCCCCCTTCCTCCTGGTCCAGCACCTCCTCATTGGAAGGGCAGGTAAGCCCGTCTCCTGCTAACATGTGATCCTGTACCCAGGGGCTCCACCACAGCATAACAGGTGGTCCCAAGGATGAGGCCGAACTGCCCCAGCCCCCTGCACCCAAAGGCTCATGTGCACTCACTCAGACGTCTTGAAGAGCCTCCCCGGTTGTACCTGGATGCCGGCAGTCCCCAGCAGGCTGAACACACACGGGATGACTGAGACCAGCACAGCCTGGCGCACGGAGTTGGCTCTCGATTCCCCTGGGTTGCCACGATTCTGCTGCAATTAAACTGCAAGTCAATTGAGACTGGGGACCTGGAGGAAACACAGCTCAGCAAAATCCTTGTGTCATGTCCTTGGGTCACTTAGTAGCCAAGCAGTCAACTGCTCCACCCAGGAGATGGCAGGGACTGGGTGAGGTCAGTTAAGCAGACTCCTCCACACACCAGCAGCCCGGGAAGGCCTCTCCCTGGCACTGCCAGTGGCCTTTTAAATCTGGTGAGGATGGAGGGTAGGGGCTGACACTGCTGCAGAGATCATGGAGTACCAAGAGGCTAGTCCCCTTATATTACAAAGAATGGATCCAGAGCTCCTTAGCCAGGACAAGCCCGGTGAGCCAGCCAGGCTCTCCCCCAGGGCTTTTCCCACCGCTTCCCTCACCCCAACTTATCTGCAGGAGGAGGCGCGCCATCTCAGTTGATGGGAAGCCTGCACTCTCAGGACCTGACTGAGAAGCTTGACTTCAGGACACGGGTCTGGGGGTGGGGGTGTTACAGATGAAAGGCTGAAGGATGCCATGGTTTCTGCACGTGGCATCACCTGAATTTCTCAAAAAAAGAGCCACAGGGTAACAGGGTTCTTGCCTAATTTGTTAGTTCTATAGGTAAGAACAACAGACATTTCTTTGCCCTGTCTTACTTAAAAAGGAATCCAGAAGCATTGTGCTTGGGAAGGGTGCAGGGAAAGACCAATTCAACTATTAGAACAAGACACGTGGGCGTGGAGCCTATGCGTCATGGTTTCCTGACGCTCCACAAGTGACTCTAATGTGCAGTCAGGTTCAGAACCACTCCTAAGAAAAAGAAGGGGTGAGAAGACGGGAGATGAAGGCGTCCCGAGGCAGGCAGGCTGAGTTGTCTGTTGACTAGCTGGGCAGCAGGACACGCACCTGTGCGTGCGAGGCCCCGCCCCACAGAGCTCTCAGCTTTACCCAGAGAGGACCACATCTGCTGGCCAAAGATCGAAGGGCACACGCTCTGCCCAGCTCAAGTGGGAAGCCAGGTCCATGCGGCCACCTGCGCACCCAAAATTCACATCAAAGAACTACAACATCCACAAGGATCATGGATCTCTATGGCAAATAAAAGCCTCAAAGTTGGGGGGTGGGGGACGGGGAGGAACCAAACTGGGAACCCAAGATGTCAAAAAGGTCAAAAGAAAATAAAGGGAGTGAGGGAGACCACTTCCAGAAGAGCCCAGAGAGGGCAAGGGCACCTCCACCACCGCTCACAGAACACCCAAACACCCTCAGTTTACAAACCTGAGCCAGCTTCCCGGCTTCCACAGTGGTGCATGCTGGAGAAGCTGGCACAACCAAGGGGCTGGGGGCCACCCCATGGAATTGGGGGCTGGCCTAGCATCCTGCCCTTGCCTTTAGTCTGTCTCAGATATCCCCAAGAAGTGACAGAAGCCAAGAGACAGTAAGTGTACAGAATCCTTTCCTATGCAAGTGTAAAATCTAAGGGTGAATTTAGGACTTCTCTTTTGGGGTCATTTTAAAGGCATGTCTCCCCTGTGATCAGCGTCATATATCTCAGGACCCTCTAAAACTGACTCCAAAACATTCTCTCTTTTCACACATCTGAAACACATGGAATTGGTATCATCTTTATAGGTGCACATCATACACACGTACAAAATTATAAGGCAAAACCCACCAACCAAAACAAGACACACAAAATCAAAACACAATCTAATTTCTGCACTTCTGAAGAAAACTGTCTTAGCTCCAAGCCACACACAACACACTAAGACAGTTTGCTTTTTATTATTGTTGTTGTTGTTTTACAATAAAAACAAATAGCTATGCTCTCAGCAAAACAAATTTAAAAAGAAAAAAAAATCACAGAAATTTACTAACAGCATTTCAAGATAAGGCTTTTGAAAGATTTATTGAAATAAATTATCTCAGCCTAAACACGTACTCATCGCTCTATTTTCAGTTACTTCTCAATATCCTAAAAACTTCGTTATGTAAAATACATTTAACTTTGCCAATTTTAGGTAATACTGGATTCTTCCCAAAAGGACTACCATAAAACTATGCTTTCAAACATTAAAAAAAAAAACCTTAATCCAGTAGGACATAAAACTGAACTACGTAAGCTATGATTGCGTGTTTCAAACCCTTCAAGTGAAATTTGTCAAGGATTTGAAAAAGTTCAGACCTGGGTCTGCTCCAAGGCAGGTGGACACAACACCTTACCTTTTAACCAACACAGTTATGAAAATGAAGGGTTCCAGGAAAGAAAGATACAAAAGGTATCATTTATTTCTTCAATGAAGCCCTCCAAGAAATACTCTCCCATCCCCCAAAGACCAAACCCACAGCCTTTGGCATTGCCTAATTGACTTTACCAACGAATTAAAACCACAAACCAAAGCTTGCTGCTTAACCCTGTCAGTGCTGACTTTTCCCATGTCTGGGGGCAGGTGGGCAGGGGACAATGAAATACAGAGGAGAAGATGGACACGCAGGGTGTACTCATAGATGGAGGAGCACCAGCATTAACGGAAGTAAAGCCAGCTCTGGACAGGGGGCTCGGAAAGTCCTGGGTGTCCTGGGACACAACTGTCAGCTCCTCACACCACATCCCTGGGCTTTCCCCTGCTCTGCTCCAGGTATCGAACCAAACACGGTTTTTCCATGATGCCCAGCCAGCCCAGGGGTCCAGAAGCCCGCAGCTCTGGCCTCACTCTGTAACATTTTGAATGCCTCCTCACTAAGAACAGCAGCTGGACAACAGAAATTACCCAGTGGTGTGGAGTCAGGCTCTGGCTGTCCATCTCCACGCTGCTTTGTATGGATCCCCCTGCCTCCAACCCCCAACTGCTGCACACACACTTCCTGCCACATTTGGAGCTAAAGACACTAGCATCTGTTATGACTTCTGCATAAGGCAGTCAGGGACATTGCCTGCTTCAGGGTCTTTGGTTGCCCACTTCCTCTTGATCCTCCCCACCCCTCCAAAGTCCAGTCAGTGCAGAAGAGATCATGCCTAGAGTTAAAATGTGCAGTGTTTCTAAAGGGAAGAGAAATGTCACATAGAAAGTATTACAAAAAAGGATTAAATCTGTCAGCTGTCCAAACACTATTAAGACCACATGCTTTATACAGCGGCGATGCAGTCAAGCCCGCTTCTTCACACAGCGGGCACAGCTGGGGACAGGCCTCTTCAGCAGGCCGGGCACGCGGCTCGGGCGGAGGCAGCCAAGGAAGGCAAGGAAGCGCTAGGAGGTCTGCTGCTTCTGAAGTCTCCGCTCGGCCGCAGCGGCCAGCATCCTTCGACGCAGGGTCACAGGGTCAGAGGTCGTCCCTTCTGAGGGGAGGCAGCTCTCCGAGGCCGAGTCATCTTCAGAACTTCTGTTCAAGAAACGCCTACCAAAAACCAAAGGCGCAAGTGAGGGACCCGGGGAGCCCTGGAAGGCAGGCACACAGAAACACACCACATGCTCCCGCAATCCCCCCTTGCCCAGCATGGCCATCAAGCTGTCGCACAGCGCCACCCCATAAACAAGACACCCCTCCCTGAATGGGGGGGGTCTCTGCAGCGGAGGCTGCTCAGCCCCTCGCTCTCCTCCGCCCCCGCCCCCCACTAACACACACGGCGTGAAGTCCCGACTCACCAGGCTGGCGCTGGGCACCGAACCCACCCACGGGAACAGAGCACCAGCCCTGTCGCCAAACGTTTAACCACCGAGTGCCTGCCAAGTCAGGGAACATTCTCCCTCTGGCTGCCCCCATCAGGGCCAGGGCTTGTGGGGATGTGGCCCGTGCTCCGAGGCTGGCCGTGCACAGAGTGGCCAAGACGGAGGACTCGGGAGCTGGGCAGCAGGCCGGCGTGAGGACCCTGAGGCCTTGGTTTCTTCAGTTTTAAATCTGTTTAATGGGGATAATCACCATGCTCCCTCTTAAGAGTGAAGAGAATGAGAGAATAGCTAGCATAAAGGGTCTAGAACATGGTGGCACAGAAGTGCTAACCACAGGAGTGTGGGTGAAAGTGCCCACTGGGGACACTGGCAGCACTGGCCAGAGGTTATCAGGTGGCACAGTATTACCAGATCCTCTGGCTTTTCAACAGAGATTTGAAATTGGAAATTGTAGGTGACAGGTGCTAGTTCTCCAGTGCTGGCATCTATGGCAAGGGCTTTCAGGCCCCGGGACTGGCGGGAGGTGCCGCCCAATGGCACTGCAGGCCCACTCACCTCCGCGCCTGCTGCAGGAGGTCATCCTTGCGTTGCACAAGCATGCGCTGCCTCTCGTCCGCAGACTTGGAGAAGCGGCTGCCCCGGGCCTCGAAGTCCTCCCCCTCACTGGGCTCCACCTCCAGCTCGCTGAAGTCCAGCGCCTCCTCCAGCCGAGGACTGAGGTCCAGCGGCACCCGCTCGGTCTGGACACGGGAAGCAAGGGGTTGCTGTGAGCAGTCCAGTTCCCCACTTGACCAGAGCCCCTCGTGATGCTCTTCTAGACCCCAAAGGAGACAGGCTGCCAGGCAGGGACTGACAAACACATGTCAGCAGACATGGGTTCCTGATGGGCAGGGCCTGACTCACCACGGCATGTTCAACATTGGGGAGTAAGTGAAGGATTACCAAATGGAAAACAGGAGCACCTCGAAACTGTACTCTCGGAAGACACACAAGTTAACTACTAATTTGCATTCTGGGAATTTTCTGTTCACCACTACTCATGGCTCTAAAATTTCAACAAGTCTTACCACATGTACTGCACAAATATTATACCCTCACTTGACTCTGAGAACAGCTAGGCAGATAAGAAGGGTAAATTCTTAGTATCTTTTTTAAAACTGACATGAGATCCTGTCCGTGAGTCACAGGATGTAATAATGGGACTCTCTCCATTACAGCAGCTGTGAAGGCCAAGACAATGCCCAAGTCCTCCATAGGCTTGGTTAGAGGCCATCGGTGTTGCTCGCGCTCCCAGACCCAGGCTGGCCAGCACCAGCCCAAGGCAAAGGCAGAGTTGAGGAGCAAGCGGCTAAGAGGCCTATTTTTAAGTTTCTGGTGGGAGCACTTCTCCAGCTTCTCAGCTGAGCAAGGAGTAACTTCAAGAGAATCCTGGGGCCTTACTTACATGCCCTAGACGCTGGGGGATATGGGGGCCAGTGATGACTAACACACAGCTGAGAAACCTAACAGGAAGAAACTGGCTTGTAGCAGATTTTAAAAAGGCTTTGACGGGAGCAACTTCAACCTCCACCAACTGTAAGGCACTGCTGTGTGCGCTCTGGGGAGGAGACATGGGTCCTACAGGAGGATCCAGCCCGAGGCTGCTGAAAGACTGCCCCAGAGGACCACTGGGAGGGGAGGGGAGCCCCATGAAGTAAGGGCTGGTTGCTGAAATACAGCCCAAGTTCAAAGGAAGAATACTCAAGGCTTCTGGTGCCAGAGAGGACAGAAAGATCTCTAAAACAACAGCTGTAACACACATGTATATGCGTGTGCACACACACACACCCCCGGGGTCACATGGCCCATCCTAACCCTCTCCCCTCCTGAGTCTGACCCTAGAGGAGTCGGGAAGAAGAGCGGGTGAGTGGAGGTGGAGGCAGAGATGGAAGCCCACCCTCAGGCCCTCACAGGCCTCCAAGCCTGATCCATGCAGGCCTGAGCTCGGGCAGAGGGAAGGCCTCGAATTAATGGGCAGAGCTGATCTGCTGACTGGGCTAAATCGAGGTGTTTATTAAGTGACTGTTTTCCAAGAACTTATTATTTCCTGAGGACAGCCAAAAGTGTTATATAGCAAGCTTCCTTGTAAAACAAGTACTTTCCTTTCACTACATTAAAAAAAAAAAAAAAAAAAGTCAGAAACCTTCAGGCTCACTCTAAAAAGAAAGCTGGGAAATCAAGACAGAAATTGAATGTGCTGTACCCACAAGGCCACCCAGTAAGCCCAGCATCTAAATCAGAGCTAAGCCAGCTACAAAAACTGGAAAAGCAATGATCCCCTTCTTCAGAAGCCAGACACTATTTTACCAATACTGCACAACCCAGTTGCAGATTCGGATATGAACATGTTAACTCGGCAACAGATCTGAAGAAGTCTTAGGAGTTTTTAGTGTTTCCTGTTTGCAGGGAAAGACCCATGAGGTGAAAGCAGCTGCTTCCGAACAGCCCTGACCCCCAATGGAGGGAAGGCAGTGCCGTCCTCGGACCCCTTCCCTGTGTGGGGATCCCCACACATCTCTCACACACAACGAAACACAAAGGCAGGGTTGCTTGGGGGTTTTCAGTCCCTTAAGAAAGTTTCCAGCAAGTACGGTCATTGATAAGCAACTGGGAATTACAGAAAATGGATGTGAACTGGCACCCCAGGCTGTGGGGTGAAAAGCTCGGGGTGGAGGTACCTCTGCCCTGGACCCTGGACAGGGGAGCTGTTTTCAGTTGGGGGCAGTCACCCAAGGTCACCCAGAGTGGTTATCTACACAGATTTGGTTCCCAAGATAACCACGCTTCCCCCCACCCTGGGGGTCTCCTGTTTGTGAAATGTGTGGAAGTTCCTGCAAACGCTGAGCTCAACAAGAGAGGTGTGGGGGAGAATAACCTGATGACCTCGGCTCTGGAGAGTGGGGCCCATGTGGTCACCCCGAGTCCCCGGCCCAGCCCCACCGCACCCTTCCTAGTGCTACACTCAAATTCATGGTGGCAGGCCCGGCCAGGAGAGCATGGCCCCTTTCTCTTCCAGGTCCTGAAGACAGTCCCCAGGGAGTGGGCTGCCGGCCACACCCGGGCACAGTGAAGTTTGTTAGCCCCACACACTGAGACAGGACTGGCACACGGGCTGCTCGCTACTCGAGCGCTCAGTCACGCCAGCATCAGAGGCGGACGACGACCGCCGCCAGGCGCCCCACCCCACTCCTCCACGCTCTAGGGCATAGGCCTTACCTGAACAGAAGCTTCTTCGTCCTCCTGCTCGCCGTTGGGCCTTTCCACAGGGCTGTTCAATGCGGGCCTGATGCTCTCTGACCGCTGGAAGAGACATCACAGCAGAATGCAGAGCCGCTCCGAACTCAAGAACAGGTGCGGGGCCGGGGGCGGGGGGAGAGCCACCACCCGACAGGCTGAGCTCAGCCAGCCCCCGGCATCCAAGACACGAGGACGATAGATTAACGACCCGACAGAGGAGTCTGAGGCCTGTCCGAGTGTCATCAGTGCTAACGTCCCTTTCAGTAATAATAACTGTACCACGACAAGCAGGACAGACAGAACACTGTGGAAAAGCCCTGACGCGGCCACCTAATCCACCTCCTCAGCGTCCTACGAACTAGGTGCCGCTGTTCTCACGCTCAGCCAGGCTGACATCCTGGCCGACACGGCAGACACCCCGGGACCCTGTCCTCGTCCCTGCAGGTCTGGCCCCTCGGTGCTGGCTGGCTGGTTTCTGTATTTCATCACCCGAGAACTCACTCTGGCTGTGTGAGGGACCTCCGTGCTCCTCAGAGGAAGCCCTCTGCCAACAACTGATGGGAAATGGTGTATAAACACCCTGGCTCCTCTTCCCTCAGGAGGCACATGAATTCTACACTGGATCCTAGAAGCCTCCAGTGGCCTCAAGCTCTAGACACCCATGAGGGTGAACTGTTGGACAAGTCCTTAGCCCACCTCACAGTCCCACCTGCTGCCTGTGTTTCCTAGACTCCTTCCCATAGTTCCCAGAAAATGTCACTCAGTCGTGTCCAACTTTGCAATCCCATGGACTACAGTCCGCCAGGCTCCTACGTCTATGGAATTCTCCAGGCAAGAATACTGGAGTGGGTAGCCATTGCCTTCTCCAGGGGATCTTTCCAACCCAGGGATTGAACCTGGGTCTCCTGTATTGCAGGCAGATTCTTTACCATTTGAGCCACCAGGGAAGTATTGCATGGTTCCCAGAACACTTCTCAAATTAACTACTGGCATCCACATCCTTCTCAGAGTCTGCTCCCAGAGCCACAGCCAGTTCCTACAGGTAAGGACCACAGAGCCACCTCTAATACCTCAACCCCTTTGAGTACCAATTCCAGGCTTATTCCCTCTTCAAAGATTCTCACATTTCAAGATTTTTACTAACAGATTTCCATGTTTTGGCATATCACAACCGAGTAACTTCTTGGTATATGATAGCCTGCATGTGGCTCAGTCACTTAGTTGTGTCTGACTCTTTGTGACCTTATGGACTGTAGTCCGCCAGGCTCCTCTGGCCATGGGATTCTCCAGGCAAGAATACTGGAGTGGATTGCTGTTTCCTTCTCCAGGGGATCTTCCTGGCCCAGGGATCCAACCCACATCTCCTGCATTGGCAGGCGGATTCTTTACCACTGAGCCACTTGGGAAGCTCTTATGATACTCTAATCACATATTCATTCCTTGGTCCTGCCAGAAAGCTTGTCTTTAAAATGTCAATACTTCTTGTACCCATCAAAGAGAGTTTATGATGGGCCCGGAGACAGGACCTTTTTTAAAAAAGTTAAAAATACAAGCCTCACACAGAGAGGAACTATACCCAGTGGAAAGCCACACTGATGTGCAAAGCCAGCTGAGGACAAAGGGTGCTGTCTCCCCCGGCCAGGGTTGGCAAACTGCAGCCTATAGGATAAGTTACTCCAACGGTTTCTGTAAATAAAGTTTTACTGGAACACAGTCATGTACATTCATTTTCATGTTGTCCACAGCTACTTCAGCACTGCAGCATGGAATTAAGAAGCTACAACAGATAATGCATGCCTTGCAGGGCCTAAAATACTTCAATCTGCCTTTTATAGAAAAAGACTGCCAATCCTTGTCAAAAAGTGAACTGATACTATGACCTTCTGGACTGGTGAGGGCAGACTGGTTTGGGGGATACATCTGCATAAAAAATCAGCCAAATATCTGTGTCCTTGCCTTCAGCCAAGCCTCCTGGATGAGCCTGCTCTCAATCATAATTTGGAAAGAGGGAATTCACAGAAACCCTTCATCAAATCATAAATGATTCTCAGCTGTTAAGTAACTAAAAAGTTAATTTAGAAGATGAAACCTTGGTGAGGACAGAATTCACTTGTCATGCCTGAACCCTCAGTTTACCTGTGTGGGAAAAGGTACTTGAATCCGTCCTTCCAGAATGTTGTCTGTTGTTATTTCAACCGAGCGTGTCAGCTGGAGGTCTTGTAGTACCAGGTGGTATGGCACCTGGGGAAACATCTCTTGAATCTGATGAGCCTGCAGGGAGACAAAGAGGCCACGGAAGCGGTCACTCTCAACAGTTACTCCCTGAGGTCACGGGGTGAGGCAGGCTCTGGGCACTCAACTCGGTGACCTGCCGTGAAAACACAAGGATGGGGGGCACCGCCACGCTGCAGGCCACCGCCACACTCAGTAGTTCTCCAGAAGGCCAAAGGGAAACCTTGGTGACGGCATCAACTCCAAATAAAAAAAGCATAGAAATATGATCCTGAGGCAGACTGAATTAGAATATTCTAGCTTTAAAAAGTATTCATTTTATTCAATCCTGGGTTTTGGCACCAAAAAATAAATAAATAAATAAGCTCAGTAACAGGTATACAAACATATTCTCCTTAAAGTTATATATTCCTAGAAGGAACAACAGATGAAATTCAAATGTGTTGTGTGAATATTCCACTCAAAAGGCTATGTACTATAAAACGGTAACAGTGCTAGTTGCTCAGTCATGTCTGACTCTTTGCGACCCCACAGAGTCTAGCCTGTCAGGCTCCTGTTTTCCTGGCATTCTCCAGGCAAGAATACTGGAATGGGTTGCCATTCCCTTCTCCAGAGGATCTTCCCAATCCAGGGATCGAACCTGGGTCTCCCACATTGCAGGCAGATTCTTTACAGTCTAAGGATTCCATTTATGTGACATTCCAGAATAAGCAAAATTATAAGGGTAGAAAACCAATAGGTGGTTCCGAGAGGCAGGGGGTGGAAGCAGAAGTGATTGCAAAGGGCACAACGGAATCTGAGGGAGGGGGAACGGAGCTGCCCTGGGTTTTCATTATGGTGCCGGTTACACTACTGAATGGGTCTGACAAAACTCATAGAGGTAGTTACTAAAAACACTGAACTTACTGTACGTAAGTCACACTTTGGCCAGGGGGTGGGGGGGAGATTCTAAAGAATGTAATTGCTAATACTGCTCCAGAGCTGAAGTTTAACTGTACTCTAGAAATATCACGGAGGCCATCAGGGCTCTAGGTGGTCAAATGTACAGAGGGGAGCAGGCAGAGATCTCACACGCCACCACCTCACACTTTCATTTGAGCAGCTCCAGATGTTTTTCTCATGCATGTATATTTATTTTATAAATACTTATATTCATGGTTTTTTATGTGGAAAAAGTCCCAATCATCAAAAGAAAAAATGAGGAGGAAAAATATAACTGCTTTGGGGGCACAAGAAAGTTTACTGTTGGAAGAGGACCATGTTGTTGTAACTGTCGAAAGAGGGGCAATGTGTCTCAACATCAGTCCGAGAGAGGAAAGACCAGGGTGAAACCTGCTTAAAGCTTTGCTTGGGGTCATTGTTAGAGCAGAGAGGGAAAGACATGTGTGTAGCACAGAAGGACCTGGTGCTCTGCGGTCCTGGGATCCCTGTGTTGTTTCTATGAACATGAGTTGATCATCTTTCAAAACCCAGGTCAAGTCAAAGCTAACTGGGCAATGGTTCACAACAACCTGGATAATCAAATAACATTCTTCTCTATTCATAAACAGTGCCCCCTTTGTTTCCCAAATAAAGCAAGTCCAAAGCATTTCTCCCAGAAAACCCAGCAAATTATATATTAGATCTTTATAAAAAATATATTGTGCCAGTAAATTAGTTGTGCTAAAAATAGGCTATTCCAATCCACTGTGGATGGGGAGGAAGAACACCAGGATCTGTTTAGAATTCTAAACACATCAATTCCAAGGTAATTCTCATTCCTGGGAGGTTTATACGCCCACGGATTCTGACTTTTTTAAGGGGGCAGGTGAGGTGATCGGCCTGAAGAGCTTCAACAGCTGACTGAGCCTAAAGTACCCACGCAGAGCATCGGGGCGGCCACATTCCCAGGCCATCTGCCCTCACGACGTCTCTCTCTCTCTCTCTGCTGATGACCTGGCTGAGTGCTTCACTGAGACAGCAGAAGCCAGCAGGAAACCCGGTCTTTTTTTTTTTTTAATGTCAAAATCATATACAATCACCCATCTTAACCATTTCTAAGTATACAGCAGTGTTAACTACACACACACTGCTGTGCAAGACATCCCCAGAATACCGTCATCTTGGCAAAACCACAACACCCACGGAACAGCAACGCCCCACTTCCCCCTTCCCCAGGCAGCCATTCTACTTCCAAGAGTCTCAGTAATTTAGATACCTCATGTGAGTGGAATCACACAGTATTTGTCTTTTTTTGTAACTAGCTGATTTCACTTAGCACAATATCCTCAAAGTTTTTTGGTTGGCTGAATCATGCTCCCATTGTGTGAACAGACCATTTCCATAATCCATTCATCGCTTATGGACACGTAGGTTGCTTCTACCTAAATGGTTACTATGAGCCATGCCTTTTTAAAAAACTGCCTCAAAATGACACGCCTGTAGCCATGTTCATCCCTCCCCCAACCAAGGTGAATGCGTCTCTCCCGGCTCTGGCACCCAGCCCACCCTCCACCTCAAGAACTGCACCTTCAGTTAACTTTGTCCTGTACCATCAATCTCTCCCCTTCTAGTGATCACTTCTATCTGCATACCAAGCATGCGTTAGAATCTTTTTAAAAAGACTCTTGGGTACAGAAAAGAATTAAAAGCAGGGTCTCAAAGAGATATTTGTACACCCATATTCATAGTCCCATTACTCACAATAGCTAAAACATGGAAGCAACTCAAGTGTCCACTGACAGATGAATGGATAAGCCAAATGTGGTCTATCCATACAAAGGGATATTTATTTAACCTTAAGAAGGAAGGAAACTCTGACACATCACAGCTGAACCTTGGGAACATTAAGCTTAGTAAAATAAGCCAGTCACACACAAAAAAAATTTTATGATTCTGCTTATATGAGGTCCCTAAAGTAGTCAAATTCATAGAGAAAGAAAGGAGAATGGTGGTTGCAGTGGCTAGGAAGGAGGGAATGGGGAGTTACTGCTTATTGGGTTTGGGGCTTCAGTTTTGCAAGATGAAGAGTTCTGGAAATGGATGGTGGTAAGAGTTGCATAAAAACATAAATATACTTAATATCATTGAATTGTACACTTAAAAATGGTTAAGTGTACAGTATGTGACTCACTGGAAAAGACTCTGATGTTGGGAAAGATTGAGGGCATGAGAAGGGGGCAACAGAGGATGAGACGGTGGGATGGCATCACTGACTCACTGGATATGAGTTTGAGCAAACTCCAGGAGATAGTGAAGAACAGGGAAGCCTGGTGTGCTGCAGTTCATGGGGTTGCAAAGAGTCAGACACGACTGAGCAGCTGAACAACAAACAACAAAAAGTAGGGGGAAAAAGATGACCCATGGGGAAAAGAAAAAGAATACATACTTAGCACTCGCTTCTGTGTGTATGTCAACACTGTGGAAGTTCACAACACAGAAAAAACTAACCAAAATCATTATTCCGTGAGAGGAGGGAGTCTGGGCAGATGGAGGCAAGGACAGGAGTGTGACTTCACCAGATACTCTATAGGTTTTTTTTTTTTTATTTTGGGGGTTTTTTGGTCATGGCTCAAAGCATGTGGAATCTTATTTCACTGACCAGGGATGGAACCTATGCCCCTTGCAGCGGAAGTGGAAGCATGGAGTCTTAACCGCTGAACCACCAGAGAAATTCCCTACAGGTTCTGAAATTTGTGGATCAATGGCCTGCTCAAAAATTTAAAAAAAAAAAATCAATAAAAACTCCTCTGATGGCACACCCCTATTAAGCTACCACCTTACTTCTTTGCGCCATCTTGTAACACACTGCCAGCTACTGACTGTCTTCAGCTCCCACTCAATTTCCAATCCAACAATCTAGCATTCAACCCCTCAAGCCATGGAAATGGCTTGTTCCTCTTCAGCTGATAACCACCTCCACTCTGCCACACTCGAGATGCACTTCTCTGACTTCATCTGCTAAGAATTACCACACATCTGACCTGCCTCTTCTCCTGGGGTTTCCTTCCGTCTCAATCATGGCTCCTCTCTCTCTGCCAGACCTCAGTCCTGAGCCCTCTTCTCTTCATGAGCCACCTTCTTTCCCCTGAAGAGATCCAGTCCCCTACGACTTAAAGCTCCCAAACGTCTCTCTCCAGCTGGATCTCCTTCTCGAAGTCCACAACTGTCTGCATGACACCTCTCCTTGGCTGCCTCATGGACACCCTAACATCCCCGGCCAAACAGAGGGCCGAGGTCCCGTCCTCCATCTGCTCCTCCCTCAGTCCTGCCCATCTCAATACCTGGTACCAGTGTCTGCTCAGCTGCTTAACTGAAAACCAACACTCCGCTCACCCCACTACCCTACATCCAAACCAAAAGCACCGTCAAGTCCTATCAGCTCATCTTCAAAAAGCCTTCAGTCTGCCATTTCTTTTCACCTTTATTACCAACACCCTGGTCCAAGCCGCCATCCTTTTTTGCCTGAACTATTGCAACAGCCTCCTAACTGGTAGTGCTGGTTCCATTTCCGCCCCTGTAAATGTCATTCTCTCAGAAGTAAATTATTCTCTGCTAACGGTCCTGTCAGTCACAGTCACCTGGGGGAGGAGAAAAAAAAAAAGCCCCACATGGCCCACTAACACTTTCATTACAGAATCCAAACTGGACCGTGGCCTACACATCCCCCCGTGACCTACTCTGCAGCCTCGATCATGTCACAGTCTTGGTTTCAACTCACACGCTCCAACCACAATCACTTCCCTTAGTTTCCAGAACATTTTCACCTCATGGCCATTGCACCTACTGTTTCCACCACCTCCTTTTCACCCTTCCTGTCTCAGCTTAAATATCACCTCTTGAGTCTTCTCTGAATGTCTCTTCTACAACAGTCTGTACTCACCACGCCACATTACCTGCCCTACAGCCTCCAGAGCCCTCATCCCCATTGGAATGACCTCGTCTGTTTGTGTTTACAGTCAGTCTCCCTCTCTCCCCCCACAAAGAATTCACACTTCTCGAGAGGACTCCTGTCCACCCTGTTGACACTCCAGGTGCTACGCAATTTGTTGACACGGCACAGAGCCTGTCTTGGGAACAGGCTTTCACTACACATTTGTTGAATAAATACACTAAGATAAATTAATGGACAAACAAATGAACCAAGTACTGGCCAGGCCTGCCCATGTCAACCAGAGGCCCTATTCAGGCAGGAATAACACAGTTTACATTTTTAAGACTCTTGCATTTATCATCATAATGAACACTACATTTCAACAGTGGCGAGTCAGTGAAGATCAGATGACAAAGCTTTAGAAAATACACAGAATCTTGAAGTATTTGGACAATATCCTTGAATGAGCCAAGAGTATGCCTCAACATCTCACGGTGTATGTGTGTGCGTGTATAAACACACACACTTACGTCCACAGCCATATATGTACGTATAAGGGTGCGTGTGAATGTATACTCATTTATTTTGGAAAGGGAGGAGATGGGAGTCAAAACAACACACTTGGTAGGCCTACTACAATTTTTAACAAAAATCAGATCATTCACTCAAGTCAGTAGCTCCCCAGATACTTTTGGTGAAAATCAAGAGAAGCCCCAAGAATAGGGAAGATCACAAGAGTGACCCTAGTAGAGCTCGGAAAAGGTTACATATCTGCCACATCAGTAAAATGAAAGCTCGCATCTAAGCCAGTTTCAATTTTTTTTTCTTGGTAATTATTTAAATTTTGTTTCAAAGTTTTTACAACGTTACGTTGGTTTCTGCCATACAACCATGCAAATCAGCCACAGTTATACACACACCTTCCTTCCCTAGCCTCCTTCCGCCCCTCCCACCCCACCTCTCCACTTCTCACCCGCTCTCCACCTCACACCTCCCAGTGTACACGTTGGTGCTACTTTCCCCGTTCGTCCCACTCTCCCCCCTACATCTGTGCTTCCATTCCCTCCCTGCACAGGAATTGAAGTGGTCCCGATGAATACGATGCCCCTGAAAACCCCGTCGTTTCGCCAGAGCAGAGTGAGTCCAGCTGGGTCACGCACGTGGCACACGCTCTCCAGCTTCTCCTTCCCTCCTGATTAATAAGCTCCTTCTGAAAGCAGTGAGCGCTTCTTACCATTGCATTGAGCTGGGAGTTGCTTGCCTGCGTAATGCCTAGAATGTTGGTGGTGTGCATCACTTCGACTGAGAAACTCGGCAGCCAACTCGCGATCCGGGACCCTGAAACAAACGAGAGTCCAGCGCAGGTTTGAGAGGCCTCCCTCCTCATGTTAGCTACCACGTGAGTGTCACTACTAGCCAGGGCTTCCTTTACACCAGGCCTCTGACCAAGTGTCAATTCTCACTAAAACCCCACCTGCGTTTATTATTATTATTCCTGTTTTACTCTTCTCAGGGATTTGACTCCAGTGCTCCTGTTGGTCCCCAAGGCACTCAGAAGTTGGGTAACTTGTCCAAGATCCAGCACTTAGTTACAGTGGCCAGGACCTGAAGCCACACAGTCAGGTTCCAAGACACTTCTCTGCTGGGCTGGCCCGCACTCCAGCGGCCTTGGACCCACACACACGCCATCCCTCCCACAGCCTGCACAGTCAGGAAGGTGTTTGGGCTGCAAAGCTGCTACAGGAGCTGACCTTTCACTCTTCTCTTCGCACTACTCATAAACACTACTCACCCGGAGACATTTTCATGAAGTAGTTTCTACTTAATAATCTGGTTTAAAGACTTTATTTTTCTCATTCAAAATGCTTCTCCAACAGCACTACAACACAGGCTGCTGGACTAAGGGTACCAAGAAGCCTGCCGCTGCTGCCATGGCCCTAAGGAAGGGGGTCCTAAGCTACGCGATCATGGGCGTCGGCACTAAAACAGCCCCACGTCAAGCCACACATTTAAGGAGGATTTTCCTCTCCTTCACAAAGGAGCACTGAGGCCCGCAATGTCAAACAAGCTCAAGGGCCACTCAAAAGTCTTGCCTGGACAGTTTGTGCCCAAGAAAAAACTGGATACCTATTTCATGTACTTACTAAAGAGAAATAAAGTTGCCTTTATCAATTTGGACTAGGTTTTCAGTAATAACTCATAAGAAATAGCTTACATAGCCAGAACCTATGTCAAAGACCCGCTTGTCTATTTCAGAAGTCTGATGAGGAAGAGGTCTTAATTAGCAGCCACAAAGCGGCCCCTCTACACCTGCTCAGCCAGCCAGGCGGTCACCTTCCCCTCTTCTCAGAGTGGACTCCGCTCCTCTGGTCCTTCCTATCAGGGGTTTCAACGTGTTGCCACTCCAGCTGTGTCCCACCCTTGGAAACTCAAATGAGAGACAGGAAGAACATTCCTCCTAAACAAATAATCTAGGGACACCTACTTTAGAGTATGAAATATGAACTCAGCATTTAGTGGTATTGAAACTGATGAAAATCAGCAATGATCCAATGTAATGTGAATTAAGGGATGAGAAACCAGTTACTGATATGGTACCCATGATCTTAGAATTTTAAGTGTTGTTTTATAATGAATACAACTCTTTCCAACATTCTGGAAGGCTGAACATTCATATCTCATGGACAAAGCAAGAGGGTTCCAGCTCTGATTCTCCTTCTAGTACTCACTGGAGTGACTATTCAGTGACCCTTCATTATATGCTTAAGTATTATACCAATGTAATAAGTTGTTAGCAACAGTTGACTATTAAAGTGATTAAGCTCACTCCTGCAGGCATGGCTGATTCAACTGTAACTACTTTCACCTCCTTGCACCCTCTTCCTCCCCCAATTCACATAGAATCTAGCAAAGTGCCTAGTATAGACTAACTCCTCAGTGTTATCCATACTTACTGAACATTGTCAGTTCAAACTGAAATTATTAAACTAGCCCATCCAGGACAAGTTATAATGAAAACAGTTCCCCTAAGAGGAGAACACCCTGCGGGTGGTTTTAGAGGTTGAAACCAACTAACCGTCAAAGTGGAAGAAGTGATTGTGTTGGTTTAAGCGAGGTCTGCCTTCGGCTGCCGCCACAGGAACCAAATTCTCATCCAGGTTCTCTCCTGGATGGTCTTCCCGGACACGATTATTGTCGGCAATGTTAAGAGACATCCTGCATGTGGGGCAGGAGGTGTCTTGTTCTAGCCAGGAACGAAGACAGGAGCTACCAAAAAGTCCAAAATAAGATATTCTTAGCATATTTTGCGAGAATTCACCAGAAGTACTCTGAATGTATCAGTGAGTTGTAATTTTACTTTCTATTCACCATTAGCAAGATTTAAACGTTGAGAAACACTTGCTGACACTGCCTGTCGCCCTGCTTCACCCTAGTGTACTTCTGGTGCATCCTGCCCTGAACATCAATTCGTTAGTGTACACGGTCATCCACAAGTTCCCAGGCATGACCCTTTTTCAGTAAGACTTCCTCATACAGCTCACCATTTTCCTCTCCAGCTCAATCTGACTAACTTCCAATCCAACACCCTTGCCTCCCAAGTCTTTGAACCCTCACTCCAATGATCTGTTCTCTCACTCTACTTTAGCTACCCACTAACATGGTCAAAACCTTGGCCTTCTCATCAAAATCATGACTTCAAAGCTCTTATTTTCCAGCTTACTATCTCTCTGCCAGAAGAGTGTATGACAGTAATGTTCCAAAATAATGAATGTGGAAGTTCAATGCTCTCAAATTTAGAAATAATAAAGTACCTATAACTCCTGTTTGTGATCATGCAATTATTAGCCAAATAAATGATATTTTTAAAAGTTCATGCTCCTTTAATCAACACCCTTAAATCACACTTCTAGTTACACCAGCCTTGTGTGGGGCTCAAAAAGTATGTAAAATCCTTGCCTTCCAACAATGCTACAGGTGACACACTTTTCATAAGCAAATCTAATTTTACTTCATACTTCCAGCTCAAATGGATCAGTGACCTAAATGTAAGGGATAAAACCATAAAACTACTAGAAAAAAACTATCATGAACTCAGATTTGGCAATGGATTCTTAGATCTGACACTCAAAATATGAGCTACAAAAGAAAGAATGGGTAAATTGGATTTCATTAGAAACTTAAAAGGTATACATCAGAGGATATTACCAAGAAAGTGAGAAGACAAGCTACCAAATGGGAGAAAGTATTTGCAAATCATACATCTGTTAAGGGTTCAGTATTCAGAATACATGAAGAACTCTTACAACTCATCAACAGAAAGAAAAACAACCCAAATAAGATAGGATAATCTGACTTCAACAGACAGTCTCCAAAGAGAATGCACAAATGCACCAACAAGCATGTGAAACAATGATCAGCATCATTGGTTAATAATGAAATGAAATGCAAATCAAACCACAATGAGAAACCACTTTACAACCTTTAAGATGGCTATTATCTAATGTAAAATGTAACAGGTATACTAGCTATAGAAAACAGTATGACAGTTCCTCAAAAACAGAATTATCACATGATCCAGTAATTCCACCTCTGGGTATATACCCTAAAGAACTGAAAGCAGGGTCTTGAAAAGAAATTTGTACCCCCATGTTTGCAGCAGCATTATTCATGATAACCTGAGAAGGCGGAAACCACCTAAATGTCTGTTGACAGACGAATGGATAAACACAATGTGATACATTCACACAATGGAATATTTTTCAGCTTTAGAAAGGAATGAAATTCTGACACATGTTACAACATGGATGAACCTTGAAGACATTATGCTAAGTGAAAAAAGCCAGACATAAAAGGACAAATATTGTACAATGTGCTTTTGTGTGAGAGCTGAGAAAACAGAAAGGTAGTTGCCAAGGACTGAGGAGAAGGGGAGACTATGGAGTTATTGTTTGATGAGTATAGCGTGTCAGTCTGGGAAGATGAAAATGTTTTGGAGATGGATGGTGGTAAAGGTTGCCCGACAATGTGAATGTACTCAATGTCACTGAACTGGTACACTTAAAAATGGTTAAACGGTAAAATTTATGTTATGTAAACATTTTCAAGGGTTCCCCTGGTGGCTCAGACAGTAAAGTATCTGCCTGCAATGCAAGAGACCTGGGTTCAATCTCTAGGTCAGGAAGATCCCCTGGAGAAGGGAATGGCCACCCACTCCAGGATTCTTACCTGGAGAATTCCACGGACAGAGGAGCCTAGTGGGCTACAGTCCATGAGGTCACAAAGAGTTGGACACAACTGAGCAACTAACACTTTTCACTTCATACATTTTTTACCACAACAAAAACATCACATTTGAGAACTATCATTAAAAAAAAAAAAACCCCACCATAATGAGATAACACTTCTTACCAACCAAAATGGCTATAATAAGAAAAAACAAAAAACGGTAAATATTGTTGAGGATCTGAAGAAACTGGAACCCTCATACATTGCTGATAGGATGTAAAATGTTGCAGCTGCTGTGGGAAAATCTGGTGGTTCTTCAAGAAGTTAAACATAGAATTGCCCTATGACTCAGCAATTTCACTCCTGAAGTATATACTGAAAAGAATTAAAAACATGTACACCAACAGATACAGATACCTGTTCACAAATGTTTATATTAATAGCAGCATCATTTGGAATAGCTAAAAAGTGGAAGAATGGAGGGTCCATCAACAGAAGAATGGATAAACAGATTGTTCAATTGTTATAAAAAATGTTTAACTCAGTCATAACAAGGAATGATGTACTGAAATATGCTACAACTTGGATGACTTTGAAAATTTCATGCTTAGTAAAAGAAGGCAGTCACAAGAAGTCACATATTGTATGATTCCTTTCATATGGACTTTCCAGAAAAGGCAAACCCACAGAGACAGGGAGCGGATTACCGGCTGCCAGGTCATGTGGAGAGGAAGGAATGGGGAGTGACTCACTGCAACGGACATGAGGGGCTATTCTGGGTGAGGGACAAGTTCTGAAACTCAGGAGAGTGCTGCTGAACCACACTGTGAGTGCACCAAATGCCACTGAATCGCATACTTTAGGATGGCTGATTGTGTACTCTATGAATTTTGCCTCAGTTAAAAAAACTAAATCCTAAAATGAATCTAACCAAATGCTTGAAAACATTTCTTCTGGAGTGAAATATACTCTTTTGAGCTATTCTTCCAAACTTTCTCCAAGCTCCTTAGGAACTATCTGACAGTTTTTGAGAAATGCGTGTCTCTGGTCTTCCAACCTCAGTAATCAGCACCACCATCCATCCAGTCGCTCAGCTGCAAAACTAGAAGAATCCTCGACACCTTACGTTCCTCTCTCACAGCCAGTCCAGCAGCATGTGCCTCCTATTTCTTCTTACACCCGTCCACCCCTCTCCTGCTCCTCTCCCACTGCTCTAGCCCACACGCCTCTCGGCGCCCATCCTAACCCCTGCAGCCCTTACTAACTAGCCTCCCCGATCTCTCCCAGCTGCATATCTGATCCCGAACCCCTACTTTAAAACCTTCCACGGCCCTCAGTTCCCTGCAAGGTGACTCAGGCCCGTGTCTTCTGCCTCAGCAAACACCACTCGACCCTCTGACATCCTGAACTCCTGCCACACGGGTTCTCTTTCATTACTTGGATACACCAGACTCCCTTTTGCTTCAGTAACGTTCCCTCTGCCTCAAAGGCTCCTCCACCTGATCCCTTCTTTTGATGCCTTCACGCCTACTCACTGTCAGGAGTCACCTTCTCCAGGTGTCAGATTCCTTTGTTACAAGCTCTCAAGGACCATATTCCTTTTCTTTAGAGCACTTGTCTCAATTTATCCTTACATGCTCATAAACACTCCTGCTTAATTCATGTCTGTCTCCTCCATTAGGCTGAACACTTTGTGAAACAAAGACCACCTCTGTCATTTTAACGTTATTTCCCAGAAAACATTTCAGCAGCCAGCACATTTAAAAAAAAAAAAAAAATCAATAAATTTGTTGAGTTACTGATACTCCAGCTCCAAAGTCTTTCTAATACTAAAGAGGAGAAGAAAAACTATTTGGGAATACAAAATAAAGAAAGGAAGATTAAAGATGTAAAGATTATAACTTCCTCAATATGCAAGACTGACCACAGATACAAAAGGTCAAGAGATACCTCAAGGTCTATCAACATGAAAAACATCCAATCTACAAACAGAATGGTTTAGGATTTAGGTTGAACAGACACAGTCCGTATGAGAGCTCTAAAACTGAATAACATTAGGAGGTGAGGACTGCAACAGCGAGAGACAAGGACTCGCAGGGGACAGAAGAGCCTGCACTGCACACAGATCTAGTCCAGCCGTGGAGGTTCTGTAATCCCTGATGACACAGTCACAGTTCTGGGCTGCGTACTGTCTCTGGTCTGATCCCCATCCCATCACACTGCCCTGGTGTGTGTTTCTATGCTGCTTCTGGGCATGCATGAAATGCACAAATAAACATTCTCACCCCAATAAAGGTGAGAAAAGGGAATAAGCTGTTGGAAAGCAAGGATTCCTCCACCCCTTTGTTTTAAGTCTTAAGGGCCTATGTGTTATACCTCAGAGTTTACAGAGAAGGAATGTGAGGACAGCTAACACATCCAGAAATTGAGATGGCACACTGTGAGTGGGGAACAATCCTGCCATGTAGGGAAGAGGCTGAGAAATAAGGCAGACGCTCCCAGGCCCCCCCCACCCCACTCAGTACCAGCACCATGGCCAGTCTGAGGGAACGCGCCCACTCTTCAGCTAAGGTTGGTCTTAAGCCCCGGCACAAGAAGCATCCTTGTGGCCTGGACAGAACACCAGTCCCACGTGGCCCCCTGCAAAGCTCCTACTTGTGGAAAAGATGTCCACAGGGCAGTTTCCTCGCAGCCTGCATGGAGTCCCAGCAGATGGCGCAGTCATCATTATTGACAGCCAGCTCCTCTGGAGTTGCCACTGCAAACCTAGGAGAAAAGAAAATGAGAACCATCACAGAGCGCAGCTGGCAGGGGTCTGCGTCAGCCCCACGTGCAGACACTGAGCATCACTTAACACACAGACGTCACCTCCAACAGCACAGTTACAGCGGAGTCACGTTTAACACAGAAGCTCCACCCACCAAAACCATGCAACCATGTGCTGCTCTTCAGAGATCATCAAAGAGCAAGACACCTATACACAGAAACCGACTGTGTCATAACACAGCGGCCCTTGTTAATGATGACTTGAGCGAACATTTCTGGGCAGATTAGAGGAGTTAAGACACCTCAGAGAGCCAAACTGCTCCCCTGGACACAAAAAAGATGCCTGTTAATCTCACACCTTTCAGGCTTGGTTCAGCCTCAGGATGCCAAGTGAACACCTCAGTGAGGTTAGAGTGTGAGAGACAGAATGTGTGTGTGTGTGTGTCTGTTTGTGTATGTAAGCACGAATGTGTAAGGAATAAAAAGGGCAGAAGCCCAAGGAGACTTCCATTTAATAATATTGATAACAATAACGATGTAATAAAAGAAACTAATATTTACCCAGTACTGTTCTAAGTATATTATGTTCATTATCCCACTGAATCCACCCAACATTCCAGGAAGAAGGTATTGTTATTATCCCTAGGCTTAAGCAGCCCAGGCACAGGGAGGTAAGTAAATTGTCCAGAATCACACGGTAACTAAGTGGGCTTCACATCCAGGCAGCCTGACTCCTGAGCCTGCACTCTTCATCATTTCATTAACAGCTGCAAAAAGCAGGGATATAACCCAGAATCTGTTATTATTAAAGATCTCAAATGTGTCAACATGGGTGGCATCAATCTGCTGACTCACCTGGCTTCCATGTTTCCGACCACTCGCAAATAGTTCTTGTGCCGGCGGATGCGACGCTGTACTTCATGAAACAGGTAACGCAGCTGCATGAAGATGACCAAGCTGGCCATGGACAACCAGATGTTGCCAAATAACTTGATGAGAGGGCGAGAGAATAAAATGTACAATAAAAGTCAACGTGAACTTGCTAGCACTAAGGGTGAGGCAAGCAACAGAAGGTCTGAATCGTGGGTAAAGGTGGACAGGAGCAGTCACTTGGGAAGCAAATGCACATACTTCTCTCACGACCCTGAACACTGTCCATGCGCCTGGGCCTAGTCATGCCATCAACAGCCATCTTTTCTGAGGAACTCATCAGAAATTTTAAAGCTTTATGCCCAATGATGTACATTATAAAACAGAAAATCAGGAAACAGACCAAATGCCCAGTAGGGGAACAGTTATACTGTGAACTCACATAATGTAATATTATATACTCATTATATATAATTATATTCTATTTTATATATAACATTCTGAAGATTAATAATATGCGTAAATAACATTTTAAGTGAAAAAAGGAAAAACATATTTAAAAAAAACTAATATGTGACCAAAAAATTATGTAAAGATGTGAATAGGCAAACAACTGAATAAAATAAAATACTCTGTTATGGGAGCACAGTGTTCAAGGGTTAGGGGTGGGGAATTGAAAGAAGGAAAATGGTCAAAAGGTACAAATTTCCAGTTATAAGATAAAAACTTAGTGGGGATATAACATACGACATGATGACTATAGTTATAACAGTGCTGTATTGTGTATTTCAACTAAATCATCATACCTCTGTTGTGGAATTTTTATCTTAAAGGTATTAAAATGATTTAGAAGAAATGTTGCTAGCATAGGAAGATGCACATAATACAACAGCTACAAAAACCTAAGCTGTATGCCCAATACACAATGAATATATGGCTTTGAATAAAGAAAGAAGCAGTAACCACAAACAAATGTCAACACTTAACTTTGGACATTTGTGTGTGTGTGTGTGGGGGGGTTGGGGGGTTTAAAGTACGTTTTCAAAGTCATTTTTAAAAAGTACACTTTGAAATGTGCTACATTTAACTCCCAAATTTTTAAACGCTACTTTATATAAACAAACTGCCCACCAAATATGTTGGTTCTCACTATTCTGAGATCACTGAAGTGCTAACCAGGGAAGCAGGTTTTCAGCATGGTGATTTCTTGCACACCAAAGTAAAATGCAAACAACAAAGTAGGAGCAATTAAGAATAAAGACTTTGCTTTTAATTACAAAGATGGTACATTTATGTATCCATGAAGCAGCTAACACTGTGGGAGTTCCCTTTACCACCTACAAAGTAACTGTTAAATATCAGAAGCCACAGAATCTATGAGGAGAGGAATTCTCTTAATACCATGCTGAAAGAATTATCTACTGACTTGGTCAGCAGAGTGAGTTAAGCCTCCTCGGAGGACAGCAAACACCTTTTGAGATGGGCACCAAAGCTGTTTCACACTGTTTTACACCCATTAGCCAGAAAGAAAAAAAAGGGGAGGGGCACAGTTGCATCATTTTTATAGTCTTTTAAGTGGGTCATCCACAAATGTTTCACTTATTAAACTCTGTACTAAACAGAGTTCCTGATTCTAAAAAACTTAGCTCTCTCTTTTGGAGTTCCCTCTGGGAAACTTACCAACATGTGAATATGGTGCATGAGGTCCAAGGACAAGAGAGTGAGCTCCATGACAAAATCTGTGTAATAGACGTATGTCCCCTTTCCTTCCCATGTCCCTTCATGGTTGAGGTCCCAGAGGTGAATTACATATCTGCCATGGACAGAGAAGAATCATGTTAATGATTTACCGTCACAATTGAATTTGTTTTAAATAGGATACAGTAGAGTCATATTTTTACAAATTTTTTACATGTTATACTTTAAAATCATCTGTATGAGTAGACCTCCATCACCTCCCTCCCAAATTTCTACTCACCGTAAAATCACATGAGCAGTCCTCACTGTCACAAGAAGAGACTATTTTAAAAAGAAGAGATTTTTTTTTCCTTTTAGTCAAGTTTAGGATTGCTCAGACCAAATTAACTTTTGCAAAATGATAAAAGACAAACATTTCTCAGTTCAATTAAAAAGCAGGTTGTTCAGTGGCTGGGAGGGTGAGGGGGACTTGGAGGATGGTAACCACAAGCTACCAGTTATAAGGTAAATAAGTACAGGGGATGTAATGTATAACATGACTATAGGCAATACAATAGTGCTGTATCATATACTTCAAAGTTCTGAAGAGAGGACATCCTAAAAAGTTGCATCGCAGGGAAAAAAACATTTTGGGGGTATTAAGAGGATGCTTATTGTGGTAATAATCATTTCACATAAATTATTATCATTATGCTGTACACCTTAAACTTATACAGACTGTATATCTCATTAAAACTGAAAGAAAAAAAAAAGCAAGTTACCAACCATTTTAGTTCATGTGCTTCAAATTTCCATGGAATATTCTCATGATCTAGAAACTCAACTTTTATTGAGCCTTTTCCTGTTAATAGGTGACAACCAATTATACCTGTCCAGCTCCTGGGGATGTCTTCCTCAATTTTGAGGTCACTGAGTTTGGACAATCACTTCTATTTTGTACAGCACTGAGTCACCATAATTGATAACCCGAAGAGGTTGTCTGAATACCTGGTGACCATATACCCAAGGTAAGGTTTAGACCCTACTATCTTAAATAATCTACGAGTCCCTGCTTGCCGCATAATGCTTTCTGCACCCTGTTCACTGCCACAGAAGAAAACCGAATGAAGGAAATCAGTAACAAGATAAGACCTTCATGGTATTTTGTATTATAGAAACTGATGCTAAGAAAAGCTTCCTCATAATCTAGGAGAATTAAACATAAAATTTTTAGAGATTAGAAAACTTTCATTTACAAATAGAAAATATTTTGCACAGAAGAGAAACACTATAGAAACATGATTTAGTTCAAAATATCAAATCTATAACTAAATCTATTTTAAGATAATTTATTTTAAAAACTTAATGAGCTAAAATAAAAATATGTACTATGACCCAATAGACCTATTTTAAGTATCTTTATTTTTAGGTGTACCTTTTTCAAAGTTTGGCCTAGTAGTAATTAAAAGCTCAAGAAACAAAAAAGGAAAACAGTGTACTTACACTACATTATACTCCAAAATGAACACTATTAAGCAAAATAAATTTTAATCCTATTCTAACAAATTCCCAACTAGCAGTTTAAACTTACAATTTTGATATTAGCCATCTATTGACAGTGATACTAGATATCTATTATTTCATTGTTCATTAATAGCAATTATGGACAACATAAAAGTGTTTTTCCTTTGGCCTGAAGAAAAAAGCAAATATAGCCAATGAAAAGAAAGAACATACAAAAAATCTGATTTCTGTTGAATAGAAATTGGTATTTTCAGAAAGGTTTTTAAAAGTACATTTTAAATATACATGAATATCTCAGATTATTCTCTGAAAATAATGAATATAGTTTCCATATTTATTGTATTATTCTGTAAAATCTTAATTTATGGCCTATCTAAACTAACTGATTACAGGTGGTAACTAAGTCACTAAGTCAAGTCCAACTCTTTGCAATCCCCTAGACTGTAGCAGGTCAGGCTCCTCTGTCCACAGGATTTCCCAGGCAGGATTACTGGAGTGAATTGACATTTCCTCCTCCAAACCAATTATAGGGTATTTCCCTATTGTTACCAAGTACTGCTTCTTAAGGAGGAAACCTTTCCCACTTTGAAGTCACAGACCTTGGATTATGCTAATTTTACCCCTTTGAAACTTTTAGCAGCTCAGCTTCCATGCCATTTTCCCATTCATAAATAGGCATGTAAGGTATTTACAACAATCCCCAGTGTACATTAAGCACTGTGTATAACTGCTGGCAAAAATAATTACAGCTGGCCCTTTGGGCAACAGAGGAGTGCATAATTTATAGTCGGCCCTCCATATCCAGTTCCTCTGCATCTGTGGATTCAACCACCCAGGGACCGTGTAGTATTTCCTACTGAAAAATATCCACATATAAGTGGACCCACACAGTTCACACGTTGTTCAACTGTACTTTTTATTAGGTTGTAGCAAGGATTACATGAAATAACACACATAGAAGCATTCAGTACCAGTACCCAATCTAAAACAAAGGAACTCCAAAAATGTTTGTTAAAATGAAAGACCAGCTATCCATCATGGGTGAAAAATAATCTGTCAACCACCCTCTAGCTTCTTTGAAAACACACAGAACACAACCAGAGCAGACGCCTGCATCCTCTCTTACCTCTGCGGCCATGAAAGCCAACGTGTGCATCCCATGGGTGTAGCCTGTGACGCAACAGACAACTGCCAGCCCACAGCAGGAAAGCAGCATGGCGACCAGGAGGGACAGAACTCGGCCGTGGCTACTCATGGGGGTGGTGGGAGAAAAAGAAAGCTGGAAGGACAAAACAGGAGACAGCAGCTCATTCTTCAGCATGGCAGCGTTAACCCTGACTAAGAAACTCAAGGTTAATCTTGGTGTCTTTGTTGGGAGGTCTGCACAGCAAAGTATCCCATTACCAGATGGTCAGAATTCTCCAGCCAACCTCAATATGAGCATGTGCTGATACCTTGAGATCTTCACCATTTAATTTAGGGACCACCACAATATACATGATATTTTCATCTCGAATTCTCAAGAATCCTCCTACCAGTGGGGTTACAAGCCTCTAGAAGCAACTTGCCAGAGTTCTGTCATTCTCCCTTCTGGCTTCAACAGGACTTTGGGCAACATCATGTTCTGTCATGCTCTTTCTCAATCTTGCTCTAATCCTAACCCCTCAAAGTCACTTGGGGGGACATTCCTAGCCTGTTCACAGCTGGGACAACTGAAGTGTACTCCAGGTGAAGATGGGCCACTATCGTCGTGCTGTGTTAACGGTACACAAGCAGAGGCAACAGCTGGGAGAAGGGAGGTCTGGACTGTGACTCCTGAGCAGGAAACTGTAGATACCAAACCAGCTGGGGAGATAAACAGCACCTGTTCATGCCCCGGGGTGGGGGCTGAATTGTGAAACAGCTCAAGGCTGTGGAACTGAGATCAGCTCACACCGAGGTGCAAGGACCACCACGGTCCATGAAGACTGGGTAAAGAAAGGGGCAAAGAGCACTGTAGGGTGGGTTTCACAGAGCGGTAGGATCACAGGTGCCCATTTGCTCTGGATCCATGAGATTAGTTAGGGAGCACTCAGGAATGAAGATTCTTCCACACAACTCTGTAGCCAAAAGGCAGAACTTATACCCAGACAGAAAAGGATTCACTTCTCCGGGGACCAAGGGAGCGAAGAGAGCTACTTCAGTCCTGGCCCGCGGGCGGAAACAACATAAACTAGTCAGAAAGAGGAGCCCCAAGGGTCAGAGTAAGAAGGGAGAAAACGGAAGGAGATGAGAACAGAAAATACTGGAAGAGATCAGCTATTTTTTCAGTTTAAGCTTTCCTTTCACTCACTGCGATCAAAACAGTTTGTGTTAGGTGAACTGACCCCACGTGGGCTGTCATGTAACACTGCTGGGGAGGGAAGAAAGCCTCCTGAGGCGACACTGCCCCTGCATTCCCTGGCTGCTGCAGAAAGTTCCTCAAGAAACAGGCAGGAGGTGCCTGAGCCAGGAGCCTTCCCTGGGAGGGCCGTCCTGCACAGGCGTGTCACGGATCACTCATATGACACCATTCAGACCTGGCATGGGTATGCCTAAGCAGGAAAGGAAGAGCCTGGGTAAAAACTCACGTATTCAAACCGGTCCTTGCAGAGCTGAACCATCAGGTGCAGAAACACTAGTCCAGCAAACCAGAGGCACCACATGACCACCTCTTCCACCGTCTGGACATTCAGCACACCGAAAATGAAAATGAACTTGTAGAAAATAAAATTCCAAAACTTGTCTTTGAGGTGCTAAAAAGAAAAATATTTGTAAAGGTGAGTACCGTTACACCTAACCCGTTCTCGAGAAGGAAACACAACAAAAGCTGCTTTTAAGGAGGAGAGAATATTCTATCCTCTGCTTTCTAACATGTGTCCATGACAAAACCAAAGGCAAAGAAAGAAATGAGCCCTCTGAAGAACAAAGGTAAGACATCTAGGAAGTAATCTATAGATTCTGGGTTGAATTCCTCAGTTATGAAATTTTAGACATTAAGAGTGGAATAATGTTAGTTTAGTATAATATTAATAATATATGTTATATAACAGAATAAAACACAAAATAAAAAAGAATGGTGACAGCTACAAGTATCATTTTTACTATTTCTACTCTCTGAATTCTTAAAACAAACAAAAGATTAGACATTCTTTTTTTTAAACATCCTTCACATTCAAAAGTAACATATGCTATTTTCCAGCCATAATCAATAATGTATGAAAAAGTACAAAGAAAAGGTAAAACAAAAGCCTTAAGATTTTCATACAATTTTCTTCCTAAATGTAAAACAGATTGATGCCAATGAATACTGTCTGAATGGACCACCTTAGTGGTTTCAGATGGTCAATGAAATGTTTTTTCACCATTCAAAAAGTATTACAATGAATATCTTTGTACAAAATTCTATTTTTTCAGCAAAGGTTATGGATGTTGTTATGGTTTCTAATAAGTAACATCCACTGATTTCCAATGAAGTTATATAAATGTACACGTCCACATAAGTTTATCTGCTTCACTGTACTCTTTCTTACTGAGGATGTCCAGTTTTAAAAACATTTACCATCCTGAAAAAAAAAGAAGGGCAACGAGGAGCATCAACCCAACAGATATTAAAAAGTACTATCAAGCATAGTGGTGGAAACTGAGTGCAGACGAGAAGGATGAAAACACGGCTCCTAAGTTTACTTTTATATAAAGTTTTTAAACTGTGTAAATGTTTCACAAATTCAAAATTTTAAACAGAAAGAAAAGCAAAATTGAAAAAAAAAACAGAAATAATTGAACCCACATGTGGAACACATTGATAACAAGACCATTTAAAGATAAGAGTTTTTTGAGAACTTTAAAACACTGTACTGTGCCTAGACGCCCTTTGTCCAGAGAACAAAATGAACTAGGAATCCTGAGTGAATGTCTGTTTCCAGATCTGGGGCAGGAAAGCATGAGGTGAAGCTAGAACATTCTGTGCCCTGGTTCTGAGCCTTCGCTACACCATCTATCTCCTGTGTGGTTTTGGATACCATTCCCATGCTTTGGTTTCCCATCTGTAAGACAGGTCTCATAACAACAGCATATAACCCATAGAATAGCTGGGGAACTAAGTAAGTTAATACATATATTGTGCTTAGACAAGTGCCACAGTAGGCATTAAGTGCATTTAAAAAAGAAATTCTTGTTCTACACCACCACTTAACAGTTTAATATTTGTCCCATTTTAGGCATTCAATGTCTTTGCCCCTAGTATTTACTCTACTTCTTCAACTTTAAGCACCCAGAGAGTAAACCCATGTCAACGCTGTAGTGTTCTAACTCAAAACAGTGCTAGTAAATACTACAGGATGGCACTGGTCAAAAATGGTCATCACAGAACAACATGAAAGAGGTGATCTATACTGAAAAAAGTGGAGATGAGTGACCAATGTGCCAATTATGATTACCTCCAGGTATCTCTGTAATACTTCAAGGTTATATTTTTTGTAAATTTTGAACTGGTATTTAACATTTTAGGAAACAGAAAGTGGTACATAAGGCCCACTGGTGCCAGAACAACCCACCAACAATTAGACAGCTTGCTTGTCCTAACTGAATTCTGGCCCACAAGTCAAAGTTTTACTTGAAAACAGAAGAAGCATCAAAGAAAGCTTTTGGGGACTTCCTTGGTGGTCCAATGGCTGGGGGCCCGGAGTTTGATCCCTGGTCAGGGAACTAGATCCCACATGCTACAACTAAGACCTGGTGCAGCCAAATATACAAATTAAATAAAAAAAAAAATTTAAGTTTTTGTATGATACCAAAAAAACTATGTTCTATTAATACCATCTGGAAGACTTCTGGAGTTAATATTTTGCAGAAAGTGCTCAATACTCACTAATGAAAAATTGGGGGGAAAACAAACAGCCCTGCTCTTCACAGCATCCAAGGGCTCAATCACACAGTAACTGCATTTTAACTCTGCCCAGGACCTCAGCTGACTTGCTAACAAGAGACTTGGGTTGAGAAGCAGAGGTAAGGGGTGAGGCCACTGTGTACTGTTAACGTACTGACAGCAGGTTTTTGGGTCTTACCACTGGAATAAGACAAAGTACAACATAGTCCTGCTCATATATTACTCTTGTAAAGGCCAGTTCTAAAGTCTTACTTTAAAACACACCATTCTACACTCTATCCACTAAAATCCTTTGGGGAACTGCTAATCTGCACAGTATGTTCATGGCATTAATTCTTTAATGAAAGCACATCCTGCTCATATATACATTCTGAGAATACTGTTCACATGTCAGCCTATCTCACCTGAACACTGGCTTGCAAAATGAGGAATCTTAATATTCCTTTCCAAATGGAAAAGCTAAAATCTCTCAGTAAATTCCTCTGGAAAAGTACCCATATTCTAAGGAATGATATATATACGATTATTCAAACAAAAAGTCAGAGCTTCTTTCAGAATTACCTCATCAATGTCGTGGGGAAATAGCAATCAAGAACAATACTGGGACAGCCTGGTTACATTAAATACAGACTGTGGATGACATGAAGTATTTTACCAATGCTGAATTTCCTGATGTTGATCATTGTCCTATGGTTATATAAGAAAATGTCCTTGCTCTTAGGAAACATATGCTGCACTATTTGAGGTTATATGTGAAGTCCCCAGTTTACTCTCAAACAGATCAGAAAAAAAAAACATACATAGATAAAAGGTGAATATATACAGATATAGATATTTATGTATAGATAAAAGGTGAATGTTAGAGCAAATGGGGCAAAATGTTAGTAACTCTGAATCTGGATAAAATCTATATGGGAGTTCTTCATACTATTTGTGCAACTTTTCTGCAAGTTTGAAATTATACCCAAGAAAGTTTTTTGTTTTTTTAATCTAGTCACAAGAATGCATCCTTGCTGTGCGGACTTACCTGTCTTTCGCTCACTCGAAGTGGGCCAAACACGATACACTGGATTAGCTTAGCCACCAACATCAAAATGCAGCAAGCAGTATTTACTAGAACCTGTACACAAATCAAAGAAAGGAAGTTTATTTCCTCTTGTTGAAAAATAAATGCAGCTCTAAAAATTTTCTATTGGGAATTCAGCCAACATTTCTAATGACTGAACCTTTCCAGTTTTCTACCAGGACAAGACCAGTAACATCTGAAGGGGCCCATTTTTATGGGTGGTGGGGGTATGGATGAGGAGTGGGGAGGGAAGGTACCAGCTTGGTGGTTAACTCACAGAGCCCTGTCCCAATGTGAACTCTTCAGAAGGCCATCATCCCCTTCAGTCTTAACTAAATTGAGCATAAACTCTGTACTGTATGTATAAAACTGTATACACTTTAGAAAATCCTATCTCTGAGGCATATCAATCTCACATTAAGATTTTGAACAGTCTAGAAGAAAACTTTTCCAGAAAATGTAGTTATCACGAACAGTAAAAGTCCAGCACCCAAACTTCCTACACTGCTCTGTTGAAAAACAGGAAATGTGGAGAAGAGGGTGAATGGTCACAAAAAGAGTCTACGAGATCATGGAGAATTGAGAATCAAAAACATACACATTTTCAAATTTATTGCAATGGGACAAAAGATACCTGCGGTTGGTGTTGGCCTTAAAGGAAAGGTTCTGGGGCATGCGAGAGGAGCAGAATCAAGAAAGTGGGAAGAAAGAAGAAAACTGGCAGAAGCAGCTTAGAACTGCCACCATGAGACACCAGTGAAAGTGCAAGGCCTTCTTCACCAGCAAGTAGAAAATTTCCTCAGTAATTAAGAAAGACCTTACACCTAAACAACAAATCTGATGCTTACAAAATGAAATTGTGGGCTGCCCCAACTCAGAAGTTAGTATGGCATACCACCGTACTGATGCTCCAGTGATTTTTAAAACCAAAGAATCTGAAAAAGCCAAAAGGACCTTGATGCAGAACGGTAAAGAGGACTTCTAGTTAGAGCAAATGAAAATGAACACCAACGACAGAAGACCACTTCAATCTTTGTTTCACTAAGTGTTAGGAAGGTGCAGGTGGCCAGGTTCCTCTTTCCAAGTCCTCCGTCCCTCTACTTCTGAGGAAGCAAATGGTGTTCTAAAAATGAGTAAATAAAGGAGGGTGACAGAGAGGGCAACATAAGGAAGGGCACTCCCTAGGGTCTCTCCAGGGCCCTCTTTGTACTTGACATTACCCAGCCCTTTGGTAACCCTGATGCTTTATGTATCATGAATGGCAGCCCTGATTCATTACAAAAGAATACATTATGTTTAGTTACATACTGCCTAATGGGACAAGTAAGTATAGGATGTATTTTCAAAGAACTAAAACAAAAATAGTGCTGAAAAACAAAACTCTTCTGGTAATTTCCTCAGATAACCAGAAAAAACAACAACGAAATTAGCTATCCAAAATATCCTAACCTCCTTAAGTATTGTGGAACAGCCCTATTCAAAACATTCCAACAAATTGGATAGAACACTAAATTTTAAGGAGATGAAATAGGTGTTTAAAAGGCTCATCTTCCTTGTGTTCTAAATTAGTTAGTGGGAACCCCAATCATGTCAATTAAGGGAAAAATGTCATAAGACAAAACTACAACCACGGTTCCTCATGCCACATGCCCCAGCTGAACCTGATTTTTAAAGTCAGCCAAACATCCATTCCGAGCCTAACTGCAACACAATTTTTTTTAAAGTCTTCCTGTTTTTGCAGGTAGGCATATGAAACGCAGAAATAAATATTTAGCACCTACATGTTAAAGGTATGTGGGAGGTTAAGAGAAATGAGGTTGATTTGGACCCTGCACTCAAAGAGCTGTTAGGATCTACAGGACACAGAACTTGGTCAACATCTAACAGGCCAAGTCAGCTGCTCTCCTGAGAACAACAGGAGAAATCAAATTTAGGGTCACTCAATCATTTCTCTAACCTAAACAGCTTTCTCACACACCCTGAGGTATAAAATAAGCAATAAAGTATTACTTCTCAGTTAAAACCTCTTTTTCAGTTTTTCTAAGTTCAAAGATAAGATATAAAAACTTTGTAACTGATTTACCAAAAAAAAAAAAAAAAAAGTGAAAGTCTCTGATAATTCCATCACCAGTAGATAATCATTTCTATTTTAAATATAAATCGAAGATTTGAAAATTAGCAAGGCTAAGAAGGGGAAAAGAGATTGATATAAATAACCTGATATTAGAAAGAGATTTTACATTAAAAAAAGATAATATTTTGTGAACTTTATACAAAAGTGAAAGCTATACAAGATTGGAAGTAACTAAAGATTTTAAGATCATGAAAAAGTGCTTTTAAAACACCTCAGTTCAGTTCAGTTGCTCAGTCGTGTCCTACTCTTTGCGACCCCATGGACTGCAGAAGCCAGGCCTCCCTGTTCATCACCTACTCCCAGAGTTTACCCAAACTCATATCCATTGAGTCGGTGATGCCATCCAACCATCTCATCCTCTGTCATCCCCTTCTCCTCCCGCCTTCAATCTTTCCCAGCATCAGGGTCTTTTCCAATGAGTCAGTTCTTTGCATCAGGTGGCCAAAGTACTGGAGTTTCAGCTTCAACATCAGTCCTTCCAATGAACACTCAGGACTGGTCTCCTTTAGGATGAACTGGTTGGATCTCTTTGCAGTCCAAGGGACTCTCAAGAGTCTTCTCCAACACCACAGTTCAAAAGCACCAATTCTTCAGCATTCAGCTTTCTTTATAGTCCAACTCTCACATCCACACATGACTACTCAAAAAACCATAGTCTTGACTAGACAGACCTTTGTTGGCAAAGTAATGTCTCTGCTTTTTAATATGCTGTCTAGGTTGGTCATCACTTTCCTTCCAAGGAGTAAGCGTCTTTTAATTTCATGGCTGCAATCACTATCTGCAATGATTCTGGAGCCCCAAAAAATAAAGTTTGCCACTGTTTCCACTGTTTCCCCATTTATTTGCCATGAAGTGATGGGACTAGATGCCATGATCTCAGTTTTCTGAATGTTGAGTTTTCAGCCAATTTTTGCACTCTCCTCTTTCACTTTCATCAAGAGGCTCTTTAGTTTTTTGCTTTCTGCCATAAGGGTGGTATCATCTGCATATCTGAGGTTATTGATGTTTCCCCTGGCAATCTTGATTCCAGCTTGTGCTTCATCCAGCTCAGCATGTGGCATGATGTACTCTGCATATAAGTTAGATAAGCAGGGTGACAATATACAGCCTTGACATACTCCTTTCCCAATTTGGAACCAGTCTGTTTTTCCATGTCTGCTTCTAACCGTTGCTTCTTGACCTGCATACAGATTTCTCAGAAGGCAAGTCAGGTGGTCTGGTATTCCCAGCTCTTGAAGAATTCTCTTCTGCTTACAGAAAAAAATGTCAATTTCACACATACTGTCATTCCAATACAGATATAAATTTCAATTTTAAAACTGACAGAGCCTTGAAACACTGAAAAATCCCTGGATTAACATATAAACACTACCATGTATAAAGTGCTTCCCTGATAGCTCAGTTGGTAAAGAATCTGCCTGCAATGCAGGAGACCCCAGTTCGATTCCTGGGTCAGAAAGATCCACTGGAAAAGGGACAGGCTACCCACTCCAGTCTTCTGGCCTGGAGAATTCCACGGACTGTATAGTCCATGGGGTCGCAAAGAGTTGGGCATGACTGAGTGCCTTTCACTTTCACTATATATAAAATAGATTAGCAACAAGGACCTACTGCATAGCACAGGGAACTCAATAATCTGTAATAACCTATATGAGAACAGAATATGAAAAAGAAAGGATGTGTGTACATGTACAACAATCACTTAGCTGTACACAGGAAACGCAACACTGTACATCAACTATATTCCCACATAAAACTAAAAGCAAATTGCAAATCAGATCCCACTAGGTCATCAGTGACACTCTTAAAGAAACAACACTTCAGTCCATATTTAAACCAATAAAACCAGGACAAACCTTCTCACCTCCAATAATCAAAATGAGACTCGCTTTCAACAGGCCTAGTCTGAACTTGATCCTTACAGACTACAGTAAAAGTACTAACTTCCTTCTATAACCTTCCCTTGTGGGCAGAATCCAAACTTACATGTAAATAAATCTAAGTATAAGGAATTCACTGGAACACTGTTTATAACACCAGAAAAAGGGAAAACAACTACATGGCCATTAGGGAGAATAGTTCAACAAAGTGTAAAAACAGCCGTTCAGTGGAATACAGTGAAACCAGGAAAACTAACTCAGCAGTTACACATTTGCTAGCATCATATAGAACCTTCAAGAAAACTTGCTCACTGAAAAAAGGCAAAGTGTGGAAATGTGATTACTATGCTACTTTCTGTGTAAAAAAGAAAGAATATGTATATATACTATGGGATTCCCTGGTGGCTCAATGATAAAGAATCCACCTGCCAATGCAGGAAATGTGCGTTCAATCCCTGGGTCGGGAAGATCCCCTGGAGAAGGAAATGGCAAACCACTCCAGTATTCCTGCCTGGAGAATTTCATAGACAGAGGAGCCTGGCGGGCTATAGAGTCCGTGGGGTCACAAAAGACTCAGACATGACTTAGCGACTAAACAACAACAACATATATACCATATTGTATATATACCATATATATTTGTATAATATGTTAATGTGAACTGCATCAGGGACTTGATCAATCTGGGTATTTCTTAATTTTTTACTTAACACCAGCACTACTTTAGAAGAAACTGGTAAGGGCCACTTTCAGGGGAGGGAGGCAGGTAAGAGGGAAAGGGAGAGTTACTTTTCATTGTATACATCACTTGTGCACCTTTTACCTTCTGTACCATGAGCATACATCATTTATTAATTTCTTTAAGAATCTATTGAAGAAAAAAAAAAGAAGCTATTAAAGTTTAGAATCTAACCTGACCAGTTGTGAAGTTTCACATTACTTTTCTCATTGCACCATGGGAGACAGACGAGTAACAACCCAAACTGGGTAGCCTAAGTCCCAAGTTAACCTGGTAAAACACACTGCATTTCTACTATATT